CTACACTTTGGCAATCTCTTGACCTCCTGGAGATGATGTTCTCATGAGCCAACCAACCATAATATCTATTCAAAGTTATAATGCATTTAGGCTTTTTTTTTTTTAATGGCAATTAGGCAATATATAACAAGAGCCATAAAAGTGATTATATCCTTTGACTGAATAACTCACTTCCTAGAATTTATAGTAAGGAAACAATTCAAAAGAAGAAAAAGGCTTCAGGTATAAAAAAGTTCATAGCCGTGCTATTCATAATACCAAAAACAGGAAGCAACTAAAGTGTCCAACAACAAAGAGGCAGTTAACCCAATTATGGTACATCATGGCATATTCCCTTCACTAAAATGGCAAATATAAATGTTGTGTATCAGGTCAGTGGAAAGTCTTAGCAAGATACTAACGAAAAAAAGGAAACAATTATATAATCACTATGATTGCAACCATGTATAAAACTGTGCTTTCATTGGCTAAAGATTAAAAGGGGCCATAGGAAAATGTGAATAGTTGCTGTTAAAGTCAAGGGGTCATCAGTTTTAATTTTTTGGAATATTATTGAAACAATGAATACAATTTAAAAGAAAAATCCACGCTCTACTTCCTTCACAAGACTTTTATAGGGTTTGATGAAGCAACGTCGGATAGAACTTTCTGCAATGAATGAAGATGTTCTATGTTTATGCTCTCCAATATAGTAGCCATCAGCAACATGTGGCTTTTGAACACTTAAGTGTGGCTACTGAGGAACTGAATTTTAATTTTATTTAATGTTAATTAATTTAAATATAGTCACATGTGGCTAGAGGATGCCCACATTGGACAATGCAAGTGTAACAGGAAGGTGGCTGTAAAAAGTTCTGAAAAACATATAAAATGTTCTACACACATTATGTATGCTTTAGAACTCCTAATTTTCTCTGCACCCTTGGGCTTTACTTCCCAGCCTGCCCACCGGTATTTCTGGGTTTTCCTTTCCTGATTACAGAAGTCACAACTTCAGCTCTCAACTAGGAGGTGCTTACCCTTAGGCTCCCTGTGACAGGCTCTGTCTCCCCACTACTTCCCCCACCCCCCCACCCCCCAACGCCACAGTAGAAACAGTGAACAAATCGCTTGCCAGAAGTACACACACTTTACTGTCAGCATCTCACTGACTTCACACCACTCTGGGAGGCAGGTATTACTAATGAGGATGAAGAACCCTGGGTTTGGAGATGGCCCACCCAGGGATTACTTGGCTGAAAAGTGGCAAAGTCAAGATTCAAACTGGCTGGCTCCTCCAGAGCCTGAGCGCGTACCCACTCGGTCAATGGTTTTCAAATTGCAAGCTGTGGCCCATTAGTGAGCCAGGGAAACCATTTCTGAGGCTTTAACCAGCATTTTTTTCTTTTTATTAGCCAGCACGCTATTTAATTAAATAAATGACAATAGAAAATACCACATTAGCAAGGGTGAGTATTGTGTCCTGAAGTTTTATTTCACTTATATCCATCTACATCCAAATACAGATGTTTTGGGTCAAAATTCAAAATGTATTTCTTGTTGTTTGAGAAATACTATATTGAGTCTGTTTTTGACTTGTTTCACTATAAGCTCGTGGGTAACAGGGACTCAGGATCCATCTTGAGTTTGTTCCAGGGTCTGACAGGTACTGGGTAAATGATGAGGCCTATTCCTGTTTCCCACTTTTAAAGCAAGAGCAGATGCCTCCTTTAAAAATGAGGAGCTGAGAGGCATGGGGCTTGCTTAGGCTCTCCCAGTGAGTCAGGGCAGAGCCGAACATCCTGCAACGTCTCTAGCCCTGTGATGCTCAGACTTGCTTAATGGGAAAGGTTTTTATACATTGGGGAAATCTCATACCTTTATGAGAATTTAATAAAAAGCATATACTCATTTATTACCAAACATGGCAAATAATTTCATAAGGTTACTAGATCCCTTGAGGAATCATCCTTGGGCAGACAACAGTGGTTGGAGACATTCATTCATTTCACACATATTTATTTTGCACCTACTATGTGCTGGGCATTATTCTAGTTCCTGCTGAGGAGTTTTCATCGAATTAGTGGCACCCAACCACACATATACACATATACTACAATGTCAGGGGTGAGTATTATGAGGGAATATAAAGAGGGAGGAAAGGGGTGCTATTATATACAGGGTGGTCAGGGAAAGGACTCTGAGAAGGTGACGCTTCCGCAGAGGCAAGAACGTGAAGGAACAAGTCATTGAAATATGGTCGAGTACCCCAGGATGAAGGAACAGCAAGGCATAAGGCCCTGAGGCAGGAATGAAGTTTATGATCAAGAACAATAAACTGAATAAACTGTGTAAGGCCACTAGGCCATTGTAAGGACTTTGGCTTTTTCCTCTGAGTGAAAGGGGAGCCACAGGAAGGTTCTTAAGCCAAAAAAAAAAAAAGACCTGGTCTGACTCATTTTAAAATTGTCCCTCTGGCTGTTGTGTTGAGAATAGGCTGTAGGGGACAAGGAGACCAGTTAGGAGGCTACTGTAATAATCCAAAAGTCACACCTGAACCAGGGTGGTAGCAGTAGAGGCCGTAAATTCTCACACATTTTAAGAGAGGAAAAAACTGTATTAAAATTGTAATATTATATACTGATAACAAAAGATGAATACAAGTTATGTGTACACTTATTTTTGGCACTCCTGGTATTTTGAAGAGAGAGCCAATAACACTGCTGAGATGAAATCTTAAAGACAGAAGTTAAAAATAATCCCTGAAGATGAACCTATTCTGTATGACACTGTAATGGTGAATACAAGGTATTAAGCATTTGTCAAAACCCATAAAAACTTTATAGCACAAAGAGTAAACTTTAATGTATGCAAATATTTTTTAAAAATCATTTAGCCTCCTAAATGATATCCCAGAATGGGATGCAGAATGTGACATGGGAGAATCAAGTGCTGCCCTCAGTAGCTTGGAAAATGAGCAGAGTCTGTATGACTGAAGGCAAAAGGAATTATACGTATGCACTGTACTCTAGGTGATAAAGTTATTCCCACAGGGGATATAGGTTAATAATTCGGAAACCACTATATACATATACTGGAATTGAACAATTAAGTACATGAATGGACAATGGTGGAAGCTAGGTCTGTCACAGTTGGTGTGGGAGGTTACAGATAAGCCAGAAAAGGAGGCTAGAATAATCCACGTGTCATGGATGAGAGTTGCAGACAACAGTATGAACTCATATTTAGCTTAATATAGATACTGGTTGCTACATATAAAGATATTTAGATAAGTGTATATATACAGGTTAGTAGACACACATATATATATCTCTCTTGCTGTTCCAAGAAAGCCTAGAAACATAGGCATTTCAGTATTTCAGTAGCAATGAGCACACCTATCACCCAGATCTTGATGTCTAATACCATTCTCCAATAAAAGGTTAATTCCAGGAAATGGTTAATTCTATGACTAAGGCAGGAAATATACAAGATAAGCCTGGAGCAGAAAGAAAGTATTAAAAAAAAACAAAAAAAAACCCAACAACAATACATTGTGTTGGGGATATACAAGTCAACTGAAAGGGAGTAACTAACTTTACAGTGGAAAAACTTGACTACCTCAAGCTAGTAATCCAGGTTCACACCAACAGTGATAACTTATATTGGAAGTACGTGCCCTCAATGTGCTATGGTGAGGATGGCACTTGACTGTGGTCTTCCTCCCCAGAACTCATAACTCCAATCTAATCACAGAAAAACAACCAGGCAAATCCTAATGGGGGGGGGGGGCGGTCATTTTACAAAATATCTAACCAGTAATACTCAAAACTGTCAAGTTTATCTAAAATAAGGAAAGTCTGAGAAACTATTAAGAGTTAAGAAGAACCTAAGGAGACATTTCCACTGAACGTAATGTGGTTTCCTGGATGGGATCCTGCAACAGAAAAAGGATAGTAGGGAAAAACTGAGCAAATCTTAATAAAGCACAGATGTTAGTTAAAAATAACGTTAACAATACTGGTTCATTAATTGTGACAAATGTACTCTATTAATGTAAGATGTTAATAATGGCAGAAGTTGGGGGTGAGGCATATAGGAACTCACTGTAGTTATCTTGGCAATAATTCTGTAAATCTAAAATTAAAATTTTATGGATTAAAACGTCAACATTTTAAAATAACTAAATAACCCGTGAGACACTCCAGACTTAGCAAACAGAAACAAAATCTCTAAGACTGGAAAACAGATCCCAAGAAACGTTGGTGGAGAATTCTTGGTTTCCAATGAAGCGATTTTAAAATTCTGTTGAGAATTCAACTGAAACAGACTAGGGGATAGAAAATCAGTGTCAGGAGTTACTGTCTTATATCAGTGGGCTGTGTATTCCCAGACCCGCCCCATTACAACAAATTCCAACAACTGCTCAAAACTGGGTTAAAATGTTGTCCTATGAAAGCTGAGCCAACTCCCGGCGTTGAGTCACAACTGGCAGCCAGCGGGCTGAAACTGGTGTGCAGATGTCCTGCAACACGTTTAACTGTTAAATCCGAATTTGTTGCCACCACTCAAAAACTGATGAGGTTTCACACAGTCATTTCCCCACTTCTCTTGAAAAGCATCAATTTGCCCAATACATATGCACGTTGCACCTAAACGCTTTGCGTTCACCATCTCATTTAATCCTCAGGTCAAGCGCAGGTGGCTCATTTTAAAGGAGGAAATTGAGAACCAGAAAGGCAACCAGAAACTACCCACGGATAGCCAACACTCTGGGGCACACTAGGCGTCGAACCCTGGCCACACTGACTACGGAGCTCTGACTCCTCCTACACCTCCACCTGCTGGAGTGAAGGCGACGACATGGCCGTGAGGAGCGCTGGGCTCTGAACTAAAGCGCTGGGCAGGACCAGGTGAGGTCCTCCGGCTCCCGGGGACTCAAATTCCCCTCTGCAAGTAACTTCCTAACGAGCCCCTGGGAAGTTGCTCAGGCCGCGCGTAGAGAGAGACTGGGGCCAGCGGAACAGCGCCGCCGGGGACAGGCGGGCCGCGCAAACCTGGCCCAACCCCTGCTCCGTTCCCGCCGCCCCTGCGACTCCGCCCCGCCTCGAAACCCCGGCCGCGCAGCCAGAGCCGCCGCACTCACCTCCCGCACCGCCGCGCGCCGCTCCCCCGGAAGTGGTTCTTCGCAACCCCGGGTCCCGGAAGTGACGTGCTAAGCAACCAGCGGGCTCGGCTCCGCCTGCGTTGCTAGGGTTGGTGGTTTGTCGGACTTCTGTGCCTACTTTGTGGGTTTTGAGCCTCGCTTCTCCGAGTCCATCACTCAGCCCATTTCAGCAAACGTTTATAGACGAAGCCTTAATGCTATGCCAGGCCCTGAGCTAGAACCTGCAATGCAGAGGGGGAGATAAGCACATTCTTACGATTCAGACAAAAGACAATGATTAGAATTTGTTAAAAATCATTCACCGAGGGCCGGCCGAGTGGCGCGATGGTTAAGAACTGGCTTGGGACGCCAGAGGGCCCCGGTTCGGATCCCACAGATGAGGGCCAGTGACACTGCCCTCTACAGCTAAGATGCTGAACAACAGCTCAACCTGGAGCTGGGCTGCCATGAATCGCAGACGACTGCGCAGGCTGCAGCCCCTGTGGCAGTGGGTTGCCATGGGCTGCCGTTTGTAGCCAGCAGCCCCTGTGGCAGTGGGTTGCCATGGGCTGCCGTTTGTAGCCAGCAGCCGCTATGAGCGGCCGTCCAGAAGCCAGCGACTGATCTGCCTCACCCGGGAAGAGCGCAATGATGGTGCCAACTTGGGCCAGTGATGCAACGTCCTCCACAACTAGACNGGGGGGGGGTATCACTTTGTAAGGGGTGTAAATGTCTAATCATTATGTTGTTTTTGTATACCTGAAACTAACATAATTTTTAAAATTAAATTTTTTTAAAAAAGAAAAAAAAATTACACCTGTGGCCTGTGATGTATTCATATGGCATAACTCGGGCTAAAGAGACTATCCTAAGGCCTTCCTTCACTTTGGTTTTGCCGGCTTCACTGCTTAGCAGCATTTTCCCAACATGAAAAAGGAGTGATTAAAGGATAACAAAAATGACCTTCTAGGTAAATAGACTGGGATATATGCCAATGTGTATTGTCTCTCTTTCAATCTGCTCACTTAGGAAGGTCATGTGCCTGTGCCAACAAGCTGGCCACATTTTTGAACCATTTCTGTCTTCTTTGGGTATGGCTTTCAAAGCCTGAGGCCCATCCCCCCTGCCCCCACCCCCCCCAATTCCTCAGAGCTGGCCGATCTCCATCCTCCCAGCAAAGATTTAACTTCTGGAAAGAACCCAACATCATCTGGATCCAAGTGTGGTGAATCAGGTGGGGCCGCAAGTTCAGGAATACCATTTTTGGTCAAGTACAAGGTATGCCGCTTAGACACCAGGCAGACTGTTTGGGGTAGCTCACAAACTGGCCCCTAAGTGAATTCCAGGGCAGCTGTGCTCACAGCTGCCCTGGAAGAACAGCTCTCACAGGGCTCTGTATCTACGACATGTGAATACCAAGGTGTGAGAAGGCTCTCATTTCTTCACAGTTGCCGCTCATAAACACGCATTTTTAAAAATGCCCTTGGTCCCAAGCTTTGTGCTTAAGGCTGTAACAAGCCTATTGGGCTTATCAATACTTGGATTTACTAGCGTTACAAACAGCAACACAATTACGAATATTTGTAGTACAATAAAAATAGGGGCCAGGGGGGCCGGCCGAGTGGCTCAGTTGGTGAGCTCGCTCAAGAGTTTGAGCTCTGAGCAACAGCGGTTCGAGTCCAGCCTGAGCAGCCTCTGAGCTGCCAACAGGTAGCAGGATGGCTCAGCTAAAAAAAAAAAAAAAAAAAAAAAAAAAA